AAAAAAAAAAAAAAAAAAAAACTGGAGTAAGCTTCATTCCTTCCAAACGAATTCTGAGCCTTAAAAGGTTGCTCAAAGGAGAATATGCGTTTGGGTATTAAGATTCCTCTGGTCAAAAAAAAGCTGACCTGGGTTTGTTTCTTTCTTTTTTTTTTCATAATTATTATTACGAGAGCCTGAGAAGTTGCTCCTTAGGGGATTTTTTTTTTCGGAAGTCTTGGTTTTTTTCTTGCTGAGAAGTTTTATCTGGGTGGAAAATATATTTCTAGAGTGTAGAGTGTCCGGAAAGATAGAGCTTTGTGCCCTTTCATAGTTGCTTTCCAGCAGCAGCAGCAGCAGGAGGAGGGGAGGAGGAGGAGTTGCTTTCCAAGAGGAGGAGGAGGAGGAGGAGGAGGAGGAGGAGGAGGAAGAAGAGGAGGAGGAGGAGAAGAAGAAGAAGAGGAGGAGGAGGAGGAGAAGAAGAAGAAAAGAAGAAGAAGAAGAAGAAGAAGAAGAAGAAGAAGAAGAAGAGGAGGAGGAGGAGGAGGAGGAGGAGGAGGAGGAGGAGGAGGAGGAAGAAGAAGAAGAAGAAGAAGAAGAAGAAGAAGAAGAAGAAGAAGAAGAAGAAGAAGAAGAAGAAGAGGAGGAGGAGGAGGAGGAGGAGGAGGAGGAGAGGAGAAGAAGAAGAGAAGAAGAAGAAGAAGAAGAAGAAGAAGAAGAAGAAGAAGAAGAAGAAGAAGAAGAAGAAGAAGAAGAAGAAGAAGAGGAGGAGGAGGAGGGAAGGGGGTCTCTTTCCTCACATCTTGGATGAAGGCAGAACAAGAAGCAACGGATGGAAACTAACCAAAGAGAGAAGCAACCTAGAACTAAGGAGAAACTTCCTGACAGTGAGAACAATTCACCGGTGAAACAACCTGCCTCCAGAACTTGTGGATTATCCAGTACTGGAAGGTTTTAAGAAGAGATTGGACAGCCATTTGTTCAGAACTGTAGAGGGTGCGTTGTCTGAGCAGGGGGTTGGACTAGAAGACCTCCAAGGTCCCTTCCAACTCTGTTATTCTGTTATTCTTCTAGTGAATTTTGTTTCTTCTATGTCTCAACTCAGGGTAGGTCTATTACTTTAGATGACGATTGTGATTTCCCAGAGTATTAAAAAAAAAAAAAACTCTTTGAAAATGGCGTCTAGCATCATGTCCTCTCTGCAAAAACAAGTAAAGAAACTTAATTAGGACCTAGATTTATTCTAAGGGCTGTCCTGCAACAGTTTATTTTCTTTCCTGTAAACAGAGAACTTGGTATAGGTTCATCCAGTCCCTTGGATCAACGCAGAGCGAAAGGCAAACGATGGGAATGGATGCCAAATATTTCAAGGAAAATCTCGGAACGTGCTTGGCTGAAGGGCTTGCGGAAGTGGCCAACCGCCGGCCAGTAGACCCCATCCATTTCTTGGCCTCCTGGATTTACAACTATAACGAAAATAGAAAGAGAGAAGAAAAGGTGATACATTTCCTAAAACAAACAAAAAAAAAAGTTGAAGAAATCTTGTCTCAGCCACGACTGAATTCAATTTTCTTTCCTCCCAATTTTCCTGTCCTTTCTCTCTTTGGTCCCCCTATCCCTTCTATCCTTTCTAGAGAAAGAAAGCAAAGGACCACCTAGAACTTCAGTATGAAGAACGTCTCGCAGAACTGGGGTCTGCGGAAAAACTGAGAGCAGAAGAACCTCCAACGGCCCCAAAATTTGAAGAGCAGACGAAGGTCTGGGTCTCTTTCATTTTACACTAAACTACTTCCTTCAAGAACCATATTTGGCTTGTTGGTGTAACGAGAAAAATTGTTGGAGCAGTTGTTAAAAAAAAATGCATATTTTTAAAAAAAGGGTCCATTGGGGGGTGGATGCGGTTTGGGGGGAAATGGGTGGGCAATACCAAAAGCGGTGTGTATCAATTTGTTTTATTTTTTATCTGAAGTATTTTTAAGATTGTAGCGTATTGTAAAATTGAAAATAAAAACTTTTTTAAAAAAAAAATAACCATATTTGGCTTGTTGGTGTAATGAGAAAAATTGTTGGAGCAATTGTTAAAAAAAAATGCATATTTAAAAAAAAGGGTCTGTTCCTAGACTGTGGATGGAGGGATGGATTTATGCCAAGTGGATGGATGCTAGATGGTTAAAAGTTGGTGGCTGAAGGGAACTGAATGCAGTTTGATTCTATGAAGGATCTTTTCCAGGAGCAAACAGAAGATACTCCTGAAAAATTAACGGAAATAGATGGAACATCACACCAACCTTTGAGACAAGAGCTGGCTGAAAAGAAGGCAGAGGAAGTGAGTACCTCTTTTAACAAATGCACTTGACATGTTATTATTACTTCTTCTTTTTTTTAGAGTTTTATTGGTTTATAATATAGGAATCGAAATACAAAGTAAATAGCGGGAAAGATGGGGAAGGGAAAAGGGAGTAGAGAAGTGAGATAAGGGAGAAAAAAAAGGGGGAAAAAAGCATTGGCTTCCAACATCCTT